TTTTTCTCTCTTCTTTTCAAACATACGTTATTCATTAAAATAACACATAAAAAAAAATCATTATTTTTCAACCACACATTTCTCATCAATCTACTATTCTAAAATACATTTTTGCATAAAATTGGGGCTTGAACACCCTCCACATATAAAAACCCTAAAAAAAATTATTTCCATTTTTCAAGAAAGCTTAAGAAAAATACAATAAAAAAGACATAGACACGATCACAAATCTTTGGGGGCACATTCAAAATCTTTTTGCCAGCTTGTACATATGTATAGTTTCTTGTTTTGTCTTTTTTAATATTTAATTGCACCATTAATTAAGGAACATGTCATGTACATTTGTTTTGTGATTCTCTTTTAGCATTGTGTATTGTTAATTAAGGGCTACCCTACACCAATTCAAGAAAATATTGTGCCCTTAAGAAGTATGTAGGGGCAAGTAGGATTGTGGGTTGTCCCTAAGAGGCTTCATTGGGGCACTCAATTTGCTTGTGCTGTATCTTGCTTTCGATTTAGCTGTTTTAATTACTTGTTGAAATTTTAGATTTGAAAAAAACAATTAGCTAAATCAAAACAAGTAATTAAAATTAATTGTTATTCGATCTACTAAAAATTAATGAATCTTATTACATGTGTTTCCATCTTAATCTCACACTATTACAATGTCACAATCATATACCCTACAGACACGTTAAACATACCAAGTTTTGGAAGGAAGAGATAAAAATGAATACACACAAATAAAATAGAAATTTTAACATGTTTATAACCTCTTTTTTTTATTTTTTTTTTTCTATCTGTAATATTGTTCAATCTAGCGAGTCGGCTGTATGGCTGACAGCCTTCACTCTAGTCTCCAGTCCCTCGAAGCTATTTAGGTAAATAAATCCTTTAAATAATTCATCTTTTTCCAATATATATAGAGAAAGATCCAGGATTGAATTCAATACTGGACTACACATACTGTTAAATTGAAGAACATGATTTGAAAATGTACATTGTTGTTGGGTGAAAATACACATACTGCTTATTTCTAAAATCTTAATTCAGGGCAGCACAGATCTAATTAGGATATGCAAATATATTTTTTTTATTTGTTGACTCGCGAAAACATATACTTCATGTACATCGATGAACAGAAGTTGATTGGTATAAATCCAATTTTTAGCGATAAACTTCTGTTTTGTGAAGCTCAAATGGGGGTTCATAATCATTATGATAATTTTTATTTTTTTAAATCACACTATATAAGATGTCACTCGTAGATATGTAAATTTCCATGTAAAAATTGATTTCCAAATGCATCTATCTCGAACTAAATATAGTTAAGTATCATGTGTGAACATTCACAGTGCGTATGACATATATATAATTTTGCATAACATGATCAATGTTTTATGTAATAATATGTATTTTGTTTGTTTGATCTATCAGAAATGAAAGAGTGATGATCATTATGCATACATTGTGATAAGGGATTTTCGGACAGAATGTATGAAGAAATCACATAACGAGATATGATGAAGACGATCTAGAAATGAAAGATGATTTTTCGTACTTGATATTTATGGTTTTCTAACTATTTGCTTCAAAGAAGATGTAATTTGGGGATTTTGGGCATGATTTAGGATATGGTATGGTATGGGGGTGAGTGGGGTGGTCGTAGTTGGTGATATGGCATGTTTGGTGGAGTGATGTTAGCGTTTACGTTGATTAATAAGAGGACTGATTATATTTATTGATTATCATTTTTGCTCTATATATTGTAGTATATTTGAATTTAAAAAACTTGCAATGTAAAAATATGAATATTTATCTAATTTGCTGTAATGGGCAATTTCCACTTATCTTTTTGTTTTAGGTGGCAAAAATGGGCTGTAGCCCACAGTGATGCCCAAGCCAGCAACAGCAACAATTTAGCCTAGCAAAAGTAAACTGTAGCCCACACCAAGCCCAAAATCGAGAGGTAGCCTACATCTTTATCTAGCTGGACAATGGATGCCTACACAATTTCTTAGCCCATTGCAATGGCTAAACAACATAAAGAGCCTATTTGTCTCTCATTACGGGAGAAATTATAGAGTTTTAAATAATATTTTTGAAGAATATATATTTAAAATTTAAAAAAAAAACTTTATTGGTTTGTACGTAAAATATTTTATTGTGTGAATGTCTGAAAGGTTTGGTTAAAATCTGCTAATAAACAAAAGGTTTGGTACCTCGACTGCAATTTTTCCTAATTATTATTATTATTATTTGGATATGTTTGGTAGTGGTTATTTTCAAGTAGATTTAGCAATGAGCCAAAAGGAATGGTGAAAAAAGATCGAGTATCGTACTAAATTTAATGGAATAAGAATTGATTTGCTGTCGTTGTTGGTTGTTTAGAGAATGTTGGGATATACTTTTAAGTAATTTAATATTTTAAAACGTGTTAGAATTTTTTAGTTTTTCGTTCTTTTAAGTCAAAAAAGTTATTTAGAAGTTGTTCTTACCTTACCATTAAAAGAAGTACTTTACTTATTTTCAACATTAATCAACAAAAAATGAAATGAAGATGCGTGGCCATACTAGAAGAGATAAGATTGGAATGAAAATATCAATTTTCAACTTCCCACCTTGGTGGGCAAATATTTTGGATTATATCAATCTTTTTGAGCCTTTTGTAAAGTCTAGAATCATTTGTGCTGTTTCAATAATATTGCAGAGACAGTGTGGTAATGTCTGTATATAGTTGGAATTTGGAAACTCTAGATTGAGAGAATGGTTAGAGTAAGCAGTTTTTATAATTTGAGGGGACGTACATGTTGATTTTCGTTAAGCGACAATAATTAAGTTTCACAATTTAATAATGTTAAATTTATAAAATTGATATAATCCTGGTAGAACTGGTAAGAGGGAGATAGGCTAAACTTATATGACTCTTTGTACTTGACAATTTCATCCTAAATTTCAATTGACCCTTAATTTCTTTAATAATGTTATTCGCAATTGCTTACTACAACAGTCGCCCTACGTGACAGTTATTTGATACATATCACGTAAGGCGATTGCCTTAGTAAGCAACTGCGAATAGAATTACTCAATTTCATTTTATTATTATTATTATTTTTTTTTTTGGGAAAATAAGATGATGATGCTGTATTTGAGGTGGAATTCCTTTCACCTCTTCACCTTTATATATTTCTTTCTTTGAGATATGTCATACTGTAACCTTTGATTTTTTGAGAATATATTTGTCTTCCTCTTCCTCACTCGTTTTTACCACTTCCTTAACCATTTGATATGTACACATTGCTCTATTATTCAACTTTTTGTAGTACTTTCAACAATGAAGGTTGCAATTCATGTTCCCTATATGCTTCTATATAATTTTATTGTGCCAAAATTGTTTTATAATGTTTCAGTAAGATTGAGCCATTACATTTTCGGTGCGGGTTGCTCAAAGAATAGGAGTCGACGCTTGGTATAAAGATTGAAGAATAGACCAAAGTATTTGACTTTCTACTTTTTATTTGCTACACTCAATGGTTTTTACACTACTAAAATGGCATTAGATAGGCTTACTAAATACTATCATAGTTATCAGACTCGATCTAGTGATTGACTCAATCAAAATTTTGATTTTCTAACAGAGTTTCCGATGAAATAAAAAATATGTTTTTATTGAACTTAATAGACCATTTTGTGTCATTTTTCATTTCCATTGGAGTTATAGCTTATCTTGACATTGAACCCTCCCCTCGCCTCCCCTTCTTCTTTTCTATAATGCTACACAATTCCAAGAAATGAGTTTGGTTTGATTTTCATTTCCCATTGATAACATCAAATCCTCCCCAACCCCAATTTCTGGTTTAGCACATTAAACTTAATTGAAAATAAATTAAATTATAAGTTTTTGGATTGTATTACTTATTTTAAGTAATTTTTTTATGACTATGTAAAATGATTGTTAGATAGTCACGTTAGTGTTCAGCATTAGACTATGTGAGCGAGTTGTACGAAATGGCTTGAATTAAAACAGAAGTAAATTAAATTATAGGATCCACTTGATATAAATTGAATTAACCCCGACAATGTACTCCAAAGCTATTATCGCGTGAATGTCATAGAAGTAAGTACAAATATATTTTTTAATATTAATTCTAAAGGAAACATACTTATACAGGAAAACATTTGAAATTATATAATTTTATGTTGTGAAGTAATATATATATTCGAATGATGTGATGGATACCTTCTAATCTCAGAAAAACGTGTTTCCACGTGACTTGATAACACTTTGCTCGAGCAAATGTGTGAAAGCCAGCCTAAGCTCGTGCATGCCTTATATTAAAATCGCATTATTAAAGTATTACATCAATCATTTATGCTTAGCACGGGGTTGCCTCCAGCCTGCGCGTGCTCTTAAATTGGATTGTTTAAGAAAAAACTAAACAGATAATGGATTAATTATTTCCAAACAGGAAATAGAATAACCTCAACTGTCGTTCATTTCTTTTATTTTAACAATTATTTATTCAAAAATAACTAAATCTATATGGTGTTTGAATTTCTTAAGTGAATTTTGTTGTAACTTAATGAAATGGCTTAACCTTTATTATTTTCTTGAAATTTATCCTGATTTACCATGGTTCAATGTTATAAATTTATAATATTATTTTGTTTGATTCTTCGATATTAGGATTTATTCTGTTTACATTTAAACCTAGGTTTTCTTGACCCGGGTTGGACGGGATGCATTCTAGAAAAAGATTTAGACTTAGAAAATGATAGATATTGCTATAACAGGAGAAGGGTTGGGGGGAGACCTTCAAAAATTATGATTAATTCTAACAACTCAAACATAATCTAATCAGCAATCAGGTAATATATTTTTAATTCCCAGAACAAAAACAAATAAAAATTCTGTTATTTTGCATTATAATATATATGCTGATGCACATGATGAGATCGGTAGTCTAATTAGTATATAAATACATCTTATGATTAACAAATAAACTGCATTTTCTGATCAAACAAAGTTCCAATTTCCAATTGAAATTAGTGATCAAAAAATGCTGGAAATATGCCCTCAGTTTTCGAATTTTGGGTGGCTTCCGGAGGATCCAATGAGCCATGAACAGGAAATTTTGTATAGAGAAAGAATAGAAACTTCAGACTCCATTAATATTCTTCATTCTCCTTCGTCTAAGATACAAGGTGGAAACAGTGCTGAATCTTTGCATTTTGGTGGAAATTTGAAGATGGCAAAGAAGCTCAACCATAATGCCAGCGAACGAGATCGCCGGAAAAGAATTAATACGTTGTATTATACTCTCCGATCACTGCTTCCGGCAGCAGATCAAATGGTAACATCATTATTTTAAAAGCTTTTAAAGAAGATATTGACTATTTATTTACCCCTATTTGGTGGGAGGATTAAAATCGTATTTTTAGCAAATTTTGATAAAAGTAAATGAAATGTGGGATTGAAAAGTCGTGGATTCCATAAAATATGTAGTTAAAATTAAATATTGACTTTGATTTAGATTAAAATAATGCTGATTTAAATTATGTACATAACACACACCCCATCACGTCACTACTAAAAAACAACTTTTCACCTAGAGAAAATTATCAACGGATTGCATCCGTCGTTGATTAAAAACGGATTATCCGTTGATAAAAGTAATTCACCTTTAGCTACGATAATTAACAACATATTTTCCGTTGGTAAAGATGATATCTCTTTACCAACCGATATTCCGTGCTTAATGTAATCGTTTAACATTTGGATCTTCCTCCAACGGATATTCCGTAGGTGATGTACCGAATATTACCAACGGATTGCATCCGTTGGTAATTAGAAACGGATTATCCGTTGGTAAAAGTAATTCACTTTTAGCTACAATAATCAGCAACGAATTTTTCATTGGTAAAGATAATATCTCTTTACCAACGGATATTCCGTGCCTAATATAACCGTTTAACATTTTGGTCTTTTACCTACGGATATTTTGTTGGTAATTAGAAACTGATTATCCGTTAGTAAAAATGATATCTCTTTACCAACGGATATTCCGTGCCTAATATAACCTTTTTTACCATACGATTATTTACAACATTGATTTTTACCAATTGTAATGATAGACATTTACTAACGGAAAGTCGGTTGGTATTAGCTAAGACTTTTACCAACGAAAATTCCGTTGATAAAAAATTCACACTTTACCAACGGAAAATCCGTTGGTAAAATGTTTACTCTTTACCTACGACATGATCCATTGGTAATTATCAGCGACCCTCAAATTACCAATGGATTTGTGGTTTCAAATATTTCGTTGGTGAAGATTATTAGCAACGGATATTGAGGCTTTAGGAACGAAAAATCCGTGCCTGAGACTTTGTTTTTTAGTAGTGCGTGCAGGTCAGATTCCTTTATTTATTAAATGTATAACAATCGTGAAATTTTTATAAATAAGTGATGACGAGACTCGAACTTAACTCAAAAGATGTCTTCTAATACAATGTTGAACCACGTCATTATTTTAGTTCTTTCAACATTTTCCTTTCAAGAAAAAACATATTAACTAACTAATGTTAGGATATTAGGTAAAAGAGTGTATATTTTAATTTTGGAAGATATCAACAAACTGAAAATTATGAATAATTGAGGGTATCAGCAATAGATTTTCTGAAGCTAAATTCCATTTAAACTTTTACACGCCCCTTATGTGCAAGTCCAAATCCTTCATCATCAAAGCTCTAGTTAACACGTTGATAATTTTTATAAACGGCTGGTGGTAAGACTTAAATTTAAGCTTCCAGAACCTTTTCTTTGCAGAAGAAACTAAGCATTCCTTCAACGATATCCCGAGTGTTAAAATACATACCAGAGCTTCAGAAAGAAGTCGAGAGACTAGTCGAAAAGAAAGAAAATCTTGCAGCAAAGATTTCCAGGCAAGAAAATTCAATTCGATATAGGAAGCAAAGAAGAACAGCCGATCATCAGAGCTCAGTATTAGCTGTTTCAGCGAGTCGAATAGGTGATCGAGATGTATTGATTCAGATATCAACCATGAAGATCAAAAGGGGTTCATTTTCTGAAGCTCTACTGGATCTGGATCAGGAAGGGATTCTTGTATTGAATGCATCTAGTTTTGAATCTTTTGATGGAAGGGTTTTCTACAATTTGCATCTTCAGGTACTGTTGATATTTTCCAAAGCTTAAGTATATATGATTAAATATATAAACAGTTGTAAGAAGTAGGCCAGGATTTCGTTATGTGTGGATATCCATAGTAAACAATTCATGCAGTCGACACGAAATTTATAGTAAAAACAAAGCTTAGTTTGATATTGACTCACAAGAAGAAAGACAAAGTTAGAAATTGTGTTAGAGCATGACATCAATTCTTTAAACCCTATTATTTTTGTTCGCCAAGGTGAAATCAATAGAATGAGAAGGTGTTAAGGAATGAAAGGAAGTTAAGAAACATTCTAATATACGAACAATATCATTGTAGGTCCACTGACATCACAAATCATAATCGATTTTGATGCATTAAGAAAAAATAAAGTATTCGAAGAATTCTCCAGGATATTCATAAATATTCCACAAAACCCCAAAAGTTTATAAAACCCATCCTCACCCCCAAAAAAAATCAAGAAATTGAAATTCACCCTCCTTCATTTATCTGTATTTCTAATGCTTCTATCTTCTTGTTGGTTTGGATTCAACAGGTACAAGGAAGCCAAGCCATTGATGTTGAAATGTTAAAGGAAAATCTCTTGTCATTGTATGAGAAGGGGGAAGAAATACTTGGTTAAAGTACAGCTCTATAGTCTAATTGGAGATTTTGTGTGGACAAGGTCAAGAATAGACTATAGAATATAGAGGACCTTCTAGATGGACCACGATTATCTACTTTATAAAATTGTTCTCTTATGATTGCAGACTTAAGAGTAAAAATCACAATCATCAACTTATCTTGATATAGGTTAGATATTGAAATTATAATCAATATAAGGGCTTACACTCTATAAAGAGCTCAAAGGAGCAAATTGATTTGCCTAAATTTCAAATGAGCTAATCAAATATTAAGATTTGTATTCTCATATGAGTCATCATCTTTTAGAAGCATGTTAAGCGTAAAATTTTGCTTTCTCTTAATCCTAATATTCAATAATTACTAACTTCGAGCCATCCCCAATCCTCACACCCCTCCAAACTTTTTCAATTGAATGGGTAAGAAGTTCTCACACGTTCGATTAGAATATTCAATTATTAAATTTGTCGTTCACGTTTCACAAGCCTACATAATTTTATCATAAGTAGGTAGGGGGAAAAAAATAAAAATAAAAATTTCTCCACAAATTTAACTTTATATATACAACTATCAATCACTTCTATAATTTTCTCAACCAAATGGGTAAGAAGTTCTCACATGAATAGATCTTTTGAATATTCGATTAGAATCTTTGTTCCTTGAATTTTTAGTTCATTTTTTCAGACAGTCACCTCGATTTTATTACCATTAGGTATGAAAAGAATCATTTCCCCAATCTTTTTCTCGACTTCTATGAATAATCCTTTAAATATTTTATCATAGTTTCTGAACTTTGGTCATTAAATTCGTAAGTTGATTTTATGAACCACAAGGTAGGAAAAAGGTATCATTTCTTCCAAAATTTGGTTTTATATAACTCATTGTCAAGTCAATAGATTCCCCATACGTTAGTTGATGACAAGAACACGATTCTAAAAGCATTTTGGGTTAATTTAGTGGACTGTTGCCAGAAGCTTTGGAGCATAGAGCATTAAAAATTAGAGTACGCTTTCCACATGGAAATGAGAAAGAGTGATCGTGCTTATGAACCACTCTTTTTTTTTTTTTTTTTACAAGGTGTCCTATTCTAGACTAATCCTTGGGTCTGTGATCCGGCCCCTCTTCACACAGTCCGGTTAATCGCAGGATGTGCCTCCAACTGGCCAGGGTCCGAGCGCTCCCCACCTGGTCTGACAAAGTGCCAAGCAAGCCAATCCAAGTTGCATCTTGCCTTCCAAGAATAATCCTTGCCTTCCAAGTTCTCACTTGCCTTCCAAGAATAAATCCTTGCCTTCCAAATGTTCCCTTGCCTTCCAAGAATAAATTCTTGCCTTCCAAGAGTCCCATGTTTCGAACTCACGACCTCTGCTCTGCCAGGTTTGACAGCGTCCGTCCTTTGCCAGTGGAGAAGTGCCCTGGAGGGCACTTATGAACCACTCTTTCTTTCAACTTGTGAAGTTTATGTATGCGTAAGCACTGTGCACATATCTCTTAAGATGATGATTCGTTTGAGAACATCAACTACTAATTATTCTTTTCACCTTTAGATTGATCGACTTACACATTTTAACCTTAAATTATGCAGGGTTTGACCTTTATATATTCTTTTTAGCACTATTGAAAATATTCATTTCTTTGTAACAATTTCTTTGGAGGTTAGCTAGAATCAAATTCCCATCAATTTACAAACGTTATAAATAATTCTTTGTCTTCCTTTTTTTGTTTGTTTCTTCAAACTTCATCCATTCACTTACCCCCATACTTTAGAGGCAAGGAACAAAAACAAAAACTAGAAAGACATTTTTTTAAGATGAAGTTGGATAATTGATATGACTTGTTTCTCTCGAAACTGTACCTACGACAAAAGGGTCAAGAATCGTGGTTAAATTAGTAAATTCACGAACGCAGCAATAATATCGACTGAATTATTAAGCAACCACTTGTTTCTCATTTTTGGAAGAATGAGAATGATAAATATAGTCGTTACAGACCCCACACAAAAAGTAGAAATTCAAATTTGGTGTCTTAATGTGATGGATAACGATCATATTTTTCATTTTAATGAGAAAAAAATGGGAACCAAACAGGGGCTAAATCTTGTCTGAGTTATCAAATCTTGTTTAAAGATAGGAAATGAATTAAACAAATTTCCCTGGGACAGTTGAATTAGCATTCTTTTTATCTTTTCTTTCTCACTTCTCTTATTGGAGTAGGACTTTCATGCCCATGAAGAAAAGGTCATTGTTTTAGAGATGGGCCTTTAAAAGTAATGGGCCCAGTGTATAGCTCTTGTCTCGGGATGGGGTGACAACGGCAAAATAATTCGTTTTTAAGCCGATTTTTAATAAATGATTGTTTAGGGGGGGAAATTGCACCACATGTTCTCAAACTTTTTGACTAGTAATAATTTCATCCTCAACTTGTATAAAAGAATATTTTGGTTCCCAAAATTTCATTATAGTTGCACTACAATTTTAGCTGTCAAAGTGATTCAGATATTCAAAAAAATGCAGTATGGCCCCTCATAAACCATGGCTCACTTCCAATTTTTTAGACACAGAATAGGAATAACAGTATATCCTGCCCTGTAATGACTCACTCCAAGTTTGACTCATAACATTTGGAAAAAAATGATGCATATGAAGGTCGTTGTCAAATATATCTCCATCAATTCTCTATGTGTATAGGGGAAAAGATCATTATTCATTAACTATATTAAATTTTGAACTAAAGTAGAGTTGAACTTGTCTAAATGCATGAACCCTATTATTGTTGATAGTGATTTGAAACAGTAATTGGGATTTGGGACTATGGCGATAGACAAATGTCAAAGATTGAAAATTAGAGAAAAAAGATTGATAATTAATTTTTAGGTTTTTGCTCGATCAAGCTTAGAAGGACATTAATTTCTGGTCGATTTATCAAATTTGAATTACTTGCCCTTGTTTATTTTAAATACGAGTTCAAGATAGCAGACAAATTACATATTTATCTGTGGTCAAGTTGTCGTCAGCTGGAACATATATAACTTATTTAATCGGGCAAACGTAGCACACAAGTACTTTCCATGTTAACATGTAGCTAATATATATACGCAATACAAAAGACCAATCTAATTTGTGTCAGCTAAAATTAGCCTAATGTTGCGCAAGACTATATCCTACTTTAAAGTAGTCAAATTTCATATATTAGCATCAACAATCTAAATAAAACATCAATTGGTCTTTTGTATGTATATACACTCTCTAGGGCTTTGCTCTCAACAAATATCCTACTATGCATATGTCAATCTCTATATTACTTGCACACAAAAACAAAAATCGTTAGCACCTAGATCACCAAGTCGAAAAAAGGGTCAGCAACTATTGGTACTCCGACTGTTAAGTCAACTAATGATACAAAGTAATGTGGGGGATTAGGTGTGAAAGAGATAAGGAAGCAGAGATTTGACTAAAGCTTGAAGAATTGTGTAGATTTAGGTTTCGTGTGTCTCTATTCATAGGATAGAATTCCTTGTGGAAAAAAGGACTTGGACAGGGGAGCAACCCTAACTTCACATGCCATATTTCCATTGGCTCACATTAAGCCTTATTGAGTTATAATAAGTATACTTAAATTTATTTTCTAGTACAATTTTCCATGTAGAAATTGATCCCATAAGATCTTCCTTGATCTCCAAGGATTCACCTGATGATTTTAATGAATTTGCAAGATAGTTCCCTTATTCAATACTTCCAACCTAAAGAGAGTCGAAGATTAAATTCGAACGCAAGGATGACTTTCACCAGTAAGTTACCAATCGTTTCACAATTATCAATGCCGCCTGCGTGTTTGCTTGGTTGGCCACTAGGTGAAGTTGTCCGAAGACCAGATGGATGATGGAGCTGGCCGGCTATTTACTCACGTGGAATGTGACGAAAAACATAGAGAACTATCACGTGCCTTACTGTTGAAAACCTATGTGACCTTTGCTACCACGTTGGTACTTGCTTGGAGTTTAGTAGGATCCGTGGTGTAACGCTATTAATCCCAAATGATAATTCACAGAGTAAGAGTAAAAAAAAATAAAAATAAAAAAATAAAAAAAGTAATAATAATAATAATAATAATAATAAAATAAAATTTTTTTCTTTTTCCTTGTTTTATCCAAGTTGCCAATGAATTTAGCCACCGAAACGGGGATAAAGATTCAAAATGAAACAAAGTAGGGACATCTAAACCTAATCATAGGCAGATTTCTGGCGAGAGAAAGCAAACCAATTTGTTTAGGTCCCCAACCTATTGGAAATGTAGCAAGTAGATCCTCAACCTATTATTTTAGAGGCTGCAATCCCGCCGTTTAATTTACCCTTACTATTAATTAAAATTCTTATTAGAAAATAAAAAAGAAAAATAAAAAGTTAAAAGGAAAACAGAAAAATAAAAGAGTACAAAATCCACCAATCCTTATCTTCTATAATATTTTCCTTTTCCTTATTTATTTATTTTTGTTTGATTGTATCATCGAATTTTTAATTTTTAACTAAATACAAGAGGACGATTTCAATTCCATCCCAAACATGATAAAAATGAAATGTTGGAACCTTGGAGACTAAGGCTGCCAATATATTATATTGGGGATTTTGCTGTTTGTATATAAAAAATAAAATAAAAAGAGTCAAAAGAAGTAATTGAAATCATGTAGAGGGTAAAAATTAGATGAAAAAGCATACTGTGTCTTAAACTAACAGATAATATAGTGTTATTTGGCATTATGTAAAAGGTTATGTAATTTTTAATTTACTTGTAGCAGTTTTTGCTACATTTTTAATTAGTTGGGGACTCCAACTGTAAATTTCCCCACCCCTAAATATTACAAAAAAATCAGACAGGTGCTATGAATCTAACCCAAACTTTGACAATACGTTTGTGCTTGTCATATGACGTGTCGAATTGACGAAGACCCGTCCCACCTTCTCCCTCGTAACGCAATAATCTCTCTTCATTTTATAACATAAATTCTTGGTTGCAGAGCAGAACAAGGGCCTAAAACTCAACACTACACCATAGTATAAGCAGAAATTCGAGATTTGTTTGACTGTAATGGATGAAGATGAAGATGTACAGGATTGAGCAGAGTCTAGCATTTCAGGTGAAAAGCAGTGAAAATCAAAGGCCATTGAAGGATTTGATGTTAAGGTATTTTAGTTTAAGGGGGGTGATTATAATGGTTTTGTTAACTTTATCACTCTTGGTGTTGCCACTGTTTCTGCCACCACTTCCGCCGCCGCCGCCAGTTCTCCTCCT